TTTTTTTTTTTTTTTTTTTTTTTTTTTTTTTTTTTTTTTTTTAAAGTTGGTTGAATGAAAAATAAATAAAATTCATAAAATTTGAAATGTCTGTCATGGTGATGTGGTGTGGCATCATGTAATGTAGAGGAAACCGGAAGTACGTCATGAAGGGTGGGGCGAAGGGAGAGAATCAAGCAAAATCCACTTCCATCACACTTTCTCTCCAGGTCAAAATCTGAAATCGTTGACTTACCCCCACGTATAACACGCCTATTGAAGTATAACTTCAAAAAACTTATTACTGTAAGTGAGAAGTACGCTGTCTTTGAGTTATCGAAAGCGGCTGTAAGCTCTTAATGACACCGTCTAGCAGCATCAGTTGGCATCACCAATAGAGTCGTTACACCAGTGAGGAACTCCTGCCTTCCTCTCTTCTCTTCCAGTAGTCGCAGCACACGGAGCTCTGTTGCCCTTTATATGCCTTGTGTATCATTGCGTTCTTTTACTTCACATTACATCTTTCTCTACAAAATTCATGAGTTGATTCTTTTCATGAGTGCCTACTATCAATCTGTTCCCAGCTATTCTGATAAGTTATAGAGTTCTTTGACATTAACGTGAAAGGCTGCGCAAGAACCACATGATTACAGGTCCCCGTGGGACCATTTTTTTAACGCACACACAGACAATTGCATGCCAGTGTATAGGTGCGCTGCATCTAAGTGAATGTATCATGATTTTTCTTTTTTTTTCGTTCAGAGGGCTCAGATTTATTTTTCAATAACAAATTTTTTCATTCGGTGTCAAACTATGATCATAGAAATGAGCCTAGTCAATTGTAGGCAGAAGGAAATCAGTCTTCAGAGGTAACATCAGAGGAGGCCAGGGCCAATCTGGCAGTCAGAAGTTGGAGAATTAACAACCAAGCCAAAAAAATACAAAACGTTTTTGCTACAACAAATTTGATCACAGGCAAATTAACTGTCTCTGAAGACAGCGTGGACTCTAGTACAGCTTTTAATGTCAGGATTTTGAATATTATAAGGGAGACGCTTACCCAAAAAATAATGTTGAAAAAAATTTTAATGATAGTAACATTTATAACAACAATAATTAAAAAAAATATTCTCTTAAAAGTAATGGTAGAGGTGCAGATAATAGTCATTAAAAATTTAGAGATACTGCTTGTGTGTGGACAAAAAGCAAGCTATTATGAGTACACAAACCAAGAAACAACAGAGAAAAAAATTTAAGGCCATGTTGAAAGATTATTATGCTTCATTACTGGTTCTGGAGTAAGTCATCACGTGGTTCATAAAGGAATAATCCGAACAAATTTTAACAAATGTAAGGATGAGCTCATAAGAAGTGCTAATAAAAAAATTCTGCCAATATCATTAATCATGATCGAGGTGATTCAATATTTAAACTAAATTTTGATGAACATTTTAAATTAACAAACGTGATAGCTGCAAAGGACATCTCTGAAAATTTGATATCCTAAAGACAATTTTTGGATGCTAGCTGAGGTATATATTTACGAGATAAAAAACTCGAAACCTTTGACTAAGAAATTCGCACAACGTATATCTCAGAAACATATAAAAAATCGAACCAGCTAATAGAGTTAGAAGTTCAAAACAATCAAAATAATACTAAGAGGAAAAATACGAGTTAATGTCTCAATCTCAGACAAAAATAATAACTATTAAAGAGTGTCAAAACTCAGAGCTTGTGCAGTAACCCTTTAATCGAAAAGATGGTCAGTTTGAGATTGGGAGGGAGGAGATCCAGGAACTCGGCAAATCAGACGAAAAATTAGGAAACGACCTTTCATTAAATCAACATGAATGAACAAGAGACAAAATTTACATTGATCTGGACAAAAGTAAATCAGATAAAAGAGATAAAATAACATCAGGCATAAGCTCTGACAATATCATTAATACTTAGAAGAATCTAGAAAATCGCCTTATGTGGCATATTAAAATAGGTTACACATCCTTAAAATATTAAAAACAATTACAAAAATGAAAAGTTATTATATCTCGACAGAAATTTACATATTTCATATTGGATTGTGAAACATGATAAATATTTAAAATAGAAAAATTACTTTTTGTAGAAGTCAGAACAAAAGCAAACAAACTACAAGAAAGAATACATGTAGGCCCAACGGGTCCCATAAAACCAGACTCATATCCAGGAGATAACTAAGGCATTATAGTTCTTATAGGACTACTCTAGATGTGCTAAAGCTTACGCAGTTAAAACCAAAAATCAGAAAAGTGACTGTTTTAACACTAGAATTCTATGATGTTCAGATGAAAAAGTTAGTTACATCAAAGTAGACAACGGTGCCGAGTTAACAGGAAAACATTTTTTAGAGCCCATTAAAAAGGAAAATATAGTAAGAGAACTTTTACCTTGATTACCTTAGAATAAAACGGTACCTCAGAACGATTCAATCGATCTATTCTATGTAAAATTAGACCACTTATATTTGATTCGGATTTACTTGTTACTATGTAGTCATTGTACACATATATAACAGAACTCTGCTCTCTGGTAATAATTTAGAAACAACAATTAGTAAACTAAATATTGATTAGATGACCCACCTAGATCAATTATTAATCAGATGTCTTGGATGCTGGGCTTATGAAAAAATTCCATTAGCCAAAATAAGATTCTCAATATCAGAGAGAGCATGAAAAGCTATTTTAGTAGACTTTACTTTGATAGTTTCTACTCTGGCATCCATAGTCCAAGAAGCTTTTTTTTTTTTAATATTATTTTCAATGGAAAATTGTATAAAGATATTAGAATACATATTCAAAACCCTGATAAAACTGAAACTATGTAAAATTGGAATTTTTTTGCAGAGATAGAAAGAGATAAAGCTAATATTTCAGATGATACCTTGAAGTACCACGAGTCTATTGAGATCATTGAAGTAAAGAGAGGCTGACTAAAGAAAAGTAAAGCTAATCAAATGTCAGCTGAAGTCGAGCAGAAAAAGAGAAAACTGCCTGATGAAAAATCTAAAATCAATAGGCCCACCTGGTCTCACCAAAAACTCACACCCAGGTCATATCAAACTAATGCTTACTAAGAATAATAAGCAAGACACATGTGATCAGAGGATAAACTGATTCATGCGTTTATAGCCAGAACAAGCCAAGATTCTATAAACCTTAGAGAAGCTGTAAATTCAGAAGATAATGATATATGTCTGAAAGCCATCAAAGAGAAACTAAAGTCCATAGAGTTTAATAAAGTATGAAAAGCCGTAGAAAGATCAACTGTTGACAAAAATAACGTTAAAGTGCACACTAAAGACTCCAAATAGGTTTTAAAAAGGAAAATAAGCTCAGATGAAAAAACCGACTACAAAGCAAGTCTAGTACATATTTTTATTTGAGATTCAACAAACAGGGAAAATAATTATTTCAATGAGATTTAATCTCAATTTCAGAGAAAATTTTAAAAGTTAAAGTTGTAATTTTTCAGGGTGAAACTTTATCTCAAATGCTACTTTCGATTGTTTAAAAAGGAAGAAGTGATGAAGAGACTAACTTATAGTCAATCGTATGTGCTTCACAGTCTTGTGTGTATTTGCATTCTTTCACTTAATAATATATTTTTTTACATAAAGCTTGTGTATCGATTCTTTTTTAGAGTTCGTACCATCTATCCATTTTCAGCTATATTCTGACAATTAGTTATTTAGTTATATTTCAGAAAGATTTGTATTGTTGTTCTCAAAAATATTAGTAAGAGGTCAGTTTATAAATTTATATGAGAAAAAAATTACTTTCCTTCTCGTGAGATATACAGTTATAGTGCTGGAACATTTTTTTTCTTCAATAATCATTAAGCAATGGTATGATAAGGAAGCCACTAACTAAAGTCAAGCTTGATCTGGTGCAAACAATTTTAATAGGTCTGAAAACTTTATGTCTAATAATAAGACGCACATTTCTATTACGTAAAGGTCTTAGAATACTCTCACATTTTGTTAGAACTTTTTCATCCCATACAAATGCAGTGAGAACTTTTTGAGATAGTCACATTTCATCTTTTTCACGTACAAGTTATTTAAACGAAACTATTATGCATAAATTAATTGAAATAAAATACTGAAACTTACTTGATTCCGGACGTCAATTTTGGTGGATGTGTTAGTATGAATTCCTTTATCTGATTTAGATTCGGTTTAATAATGTTAAGCCTCACTGTTAATGACTGCTGAAACGTCATGTTGCCTTGCATGGCTTGTTTTGTGCTAAAAATAATAGATACATTGAATTTTACTTAAAGCTTAGAACAATTTTTTTAATTCTGTATAAATTTATTTTTTAGTTAAAATATTTTTTAAATATTCAGTTATACTTTACGGTTTCCGATAATGTGCATGTTGTGTCTTTTGATATTGACTGTATTAAGATCTACTAAAAACCATTTTCTTATCAAGACTAAAAAGTAACCAGAGAGATATGTATGGACAATCGTTATTAGTAGTAACGTTAAAAAAAATTATATCTTTAATAAGACAATATAATAGCACTTATACATTTTTTTGGTTATTCTACATATCAAACAAAATTTTTTACCGTGTACACAGTTTTCATGAAAAAAATTATAATTTTTATAGAAAACGTATGCATGGTTTATTTAAAGAACACTATTTTTGAAATAACCATTTTAGTAAATACCTTTATTACGCCTGAGTTTTTTAATCATGTGTGTGACACATGAAAAAAAATTTATTTTTGAGATTTCCAGAAAAGTATCGTTGCCTGCATAAGGCTTCAACAAATTTTTACAGAATTAATAAAAATATACAGTTATAAAAAGTATAATAAGGCTTGTAATAGTCAAGATAGATATAAATCTTTCATTGTGTTTATAAAAAGAAAAAACTAAAAAATATCTTTATTATCAGGATTAGTTAATTTGAAAGATTAGACTTATTTTAGTTTATCATAATTAGGATGAAATTTAATTCTTTAACAATTTAAAGGCTAAATGTATTTAAATAATATCATGCTGCAAATAGGAGTACGTAATTTCATCCCACTTAAGTGTGTAATGTTCAGTAACACTCATTACTCACTTTGTGTGCGTTATTTTACATTTAATTAGTGCGTATCTATCATTTACTCTCATAAAAGGAGTTAAAAAAATGCTGTGTAAGTGTATCAAATGAGTTGGAAAAAAAATTACTTGCAGAACCGTCTTCCCTTAAAAATATGTTATTTGGGAGTTTTTACAGTATTAAAACTGTAGTAGGCCTTAACAATAAAAATAACAACATTTTTGTCCTCATAAAACATATATAACAGAACTCTGCTCTCTGGTAATAATTTAGAAACAACAATTAGTAAACTAAATATTGATTAGATGANATATATTTAAAAAAACACGCAAGCTTTTAGGATTCCAATAGTGTTTATTATAACTAAATTCATAATAGTATTATGCCGATCTTTTAGGAATCAATCGCACATCTGCTTCCGAATCAGTACAAACTATTGTCGCAATCAATACGTTCTAAAGTAACGAATAGCGCTCTCTTACAAGGGTGTCAGCCAATATGTAAAGACTGATGCAAATAATAAAATCAATTAAAATGAGAGAAACAATAGTACCCATGAGCTGGCATAACGATACAAACTTTTCACGAGAACTAGACGCTTAGGGCGGTGGACCTAGTTACACTTCCTATTTTTTTCGAAAATACAATTCGCAACGCTTTATAAAAGCGATGTAATTGCTAAATTGGCTCTGGACCGAGAAAAAGTATCTAAAAACATTTTAACTGGCTGTACGTCCTGATAAACACAAACAAGCACAATCGTCAATTTTTTGATTGACGGACAACGTTGCTATTATGTTACAAAGCGCTATTTATGATTTGGAATTAATTGTAGAGTCCAATTGTCATGAACTCCTATTTTTATCACCATCCTTAACGGTGAAAATACCAGTGTACAAGTCATCTGCAATCCGTCATCAGGCATCATAGTAGGATAGAACTAGGTTTTTGAAAAAAATTGCTGTTAGCATAAAAATAATCATGGTAGTAGTTATTCGGTTTTTGAACAAGTCTAAATAGTTTTAGACTCCAAATTGTGTCAGCGAACGGCCCAAAAAAATGGTAATATGGTTAAAAATGGTTGTTCGCGTCTAGAAAAAAATTAGAGAGTTGGACAAAAAGGTTGTACCCTTGAAAGAGATGCGCAATTCCAAGACGAAGAAAATGAGATCTAGTGGGATAAAATTGGCCCAGCTGTTTTTTCGCAATTTGCCAAAAAGTGCTCTTTTGGACCATTTAAAAAAAAATCTATAACTCACGTTCATTTGAGTATTTAGACTTGAAGATTAAATACAAGGTAGATCTTGAGTACCTTAACATTCACACTAAATTTCAAGAAGATCGGTTGTAAACTTTTTGCAAACCGCTGCAAGAAGCAAAAAATGGTCCTTCAACAAAAAAGTTGAACGTGGCTGGTTTTTCAACATATTGCCATTTTTCAAATGGCATTGTACTCATCAAGAGTTATTTTACAACCTACCAAAACGTTGATCCATTTGACATTTTGGAAGTACGCAAAAAATTGGTGTCAAAAATCGGCTATTTCCCGGGGATGCGGTGGTGCAGCGAGCCGCTCGCAAACTCTGGAGCTATGATGTGGAGAGGGGCATGGCTTACGGTGGTGGCTTGCCACGCCGCCGCATCCAGGGAAAATAGCTGCTTTTTGACATCGATTTTTCGCGTACTTCGAGAATTTCGAATGGAATGATGTTTTGGTAGGTTGTAGAATAATTCTTGACGAGTACAATGCCGTTTGAAAAATGGCAATATGTTGAAAAACCAGCCGCGTCCAACTTTTTTGCAAAGGGACCATTTTTTGCTTCTTGCAGCGGTTTGCAAAAAGTTGGGAAAATTGCGAGAAAACGGCTAGGCCAATTTTATCCCACTAGAGCTCATTTTCTTCGTCTTGAAATTGCGCATCTTTTTCAACCATACAACTTTTTTGTCCGACTCTTCAGTTTTCAGAAACCGAATTACGACCACTATGATTGTTTTCACGATAATAGCAATGTTTCAAAATTAACCATGCTTTTTTGATAATTCTATCCTACTATCACGTTTCACTCCTACAAGATAAATACTCACAACTCTAACTATTATTAACCATATTAAAAATTGTAACATTAAAATCTTGGATTATATGATTGCTTTAAACGTATTATTTATACGGCATTATGCTTTTTTGAGTTCATTATAAAAATAATTTTATTTCTTAATACATTCTTTATTTGTAGAGAATAATCCAGACAAAAAGTACTTAGTAATGAGGGCATGACTATTTATAAAAAATTATGTTACACAGTTAATCAGTATTTCGCGTTTTTGTGTATTAACCATGGACATACTTTATATTAAATAGTTATGCTCTAACTACTTAGTATTTTTTATCTAAATCATTTGCTATTAATCACGATGAAGAAATATGTGTTAAGGGGAACTAGTGTTTTGTACATTGTCCATTTATCATAATTACTTAATTTTTTAATTTCTTACCAAACTTAGTTTAACATTGCACCAATTATTTTTTTTGGCATGCAACTTCTCTTTATTTACATCTGACCTTAAAATATATATACTAACCAGTGACTTTAAAACTTTAAAATGGATGTAACGCTAATAGTATTTTTAAAATAACTTTCCAACTAACTTTTTATGAGATTAAAAAGAAAAAAATGTTTTTCAGAAACATTCCTATGTATACTAGTTGATCATGCTAGAATATACTAATTGGTCATGCTAAAACATTTATGTTGTATAATTAAAACATTTCGGTGCTCTTAATGATGTAAAAAACCGGAGTGCAGCACCTATTACCTGAGTGCCTTTAACTACTAATTCGATTATGTTTTTATTTAGGAAATTCATAAGAGATCAACGCTTTTTTAAATAACTGGGCATGATTTTTAACTGGTTGATATTTATTATTCATTTATATTTTACTATTTGTAAAACTGTAGACAAAGAGCGATTCAGAAATTCTGACATTCTAAAAAATTTTGACAAAAATGTTTATAATAATAAGAATAATAAAGTAAGTTATATTCCTGTGAATTATCAAATTTAATATTTCACGGGTTGAAGTATCGAAAGCTACGTCTTTGAATGCAGACGGCAAGCTTTTTGATTAACGTTTTCAAAATTTTTTCTGAAATAATGATTTTTTACAGGTATCAATTGCTTAATAAAATTTCATGTTAATAGTTTTACAAGAAATTTTGCTTTCTAATTGCCAGATACATTAACGCATAATTTTATTGATGAATCACAATCGCACAATCGAAATATGCAATGAATTAAAAGAGTCATTCGGCAGTAAATTTTGAATAACGCTTGATTTTCCTAAAAATTATGCTTTTAACGTTTAAAATATTGGTAAATCTTAGCCTTGCAGTAAGGACCGATCATGTCTTTTCTATTTCTACTATTACTTCTGAACGTATCATTAAATTTTTATTTATTTTTATAGATAAGCTGCTGAGAAATTGGCTTTAACACAAATACGTAATTACCTCAAAATTAAAATGTTCATGAATTTTGCAAATATTTATACTCTTAAAAAAAATTCTGCTATATTCCTTATAATATAGGATCTTAAGACATTGTCGATAATAACAACGGAATTTGATAGGTCGATTGTCAGTGGCTGTTGTGTCATTTGTTACTTAATAATAATTAATTACATTTCGAAAATTCCTTCTTGGTTATTTTATCTTAAGTTTGCTTTGTTACAAGTAGTTATTATATAATTATTGTCACTCCTATGCAGTAATATGAACACATTTTCTCCAACCTTACGGAATTTTCTCCATGGTCCTTCAAATAAATTGAAGAAATTTGGCATCATTTTATCAAGCGCATTTGATAAATGTCTGTCTCTTAATAATACCAATGGTGCAAGCTTTGCTGTGGATATTCTCTGATTTTTCTTTATTCTCAAAACTTAACTTGTAATGATATTTTCACACGAGAAATGCATCAATATTTTGTGATCCAGCTGCTTTCCATCAGGAAAGTAAATTAAATTTTTAATCAGATCTTTTATTACTGAACCAAAATGCAGTTCATTACAGGAGGAGGGGTTAAACTCATATTAAAATGAACCGTTATGTAGGCCCAGCCTGTATGTTTCTCATAACACAGTGTACAAAACATGCGACTGATCTCTCTAATCACGTACTGTGTGGGGT